CCACCAAACACACAGAGAATGGTTATGGACACACTCCCATTTCAATAGCACCGAAGACTTATTGTCTAGGACTATCTCAGAGTAAACCTAACCAAGGAAGTGAAAGACTGCTACAATGAAACTTTAAACCTCTGAAGAAAAACAAAAAAACAGACAGGAAGGACACTAGAAAATGGAAAGGTGTCCCCAGTACGTGGATTGGCAAAAATAATGTTGTGAAAATAACCATTCTAGTAAGGGGAATGGGGACTGCATCAGACATGGACTCACTTGATAGCTTTGAAGTCTCCTATGCTCAAGCTACACCCAGTGTGGCACACAGTCTCCTTCTGCTGCCTACAAATCAAGATGTAGAACTCTTAGCTCCTTCTCCAAAATCATGTCAGCCTGTGTACCTCCATGCTGCTGGCTATGATGATAATGAACTACACCTCTGAAACCTTTTGCCAATTAAATGTTTTCATTTATAAGAGTTGCTGTGGTCATGGTGTCTCTATAGCAAAAGAGAGTCACACTCTAGAACTTCAAGGTAAGAGCCTATTGCTGAAGACACTACCAGCTTTGGTCTTGGGATATAAAGAAATACAATTGGTACTAAAAAGGCACCTTTCTCCCTGATAGATAACTTTCCCAGCTCTTAACCCTGTGAGCTATGATAACTAATAACTACTAGCATGTCAAGACGTCCCCAAGGGAACAAGTGACATGACTGTTATAGGGGTAGCCAATCATTTTCTGATTGGCTCCATGGTAGGAAATGGATGCTTAATACTGTAAATTTGGCCAAGAACTCATGGTTTGGTGGATCATGGTCCTGTGGGTAAATCTAGTACTATCATTCTGCTAAATGTACACAGTGCCAAATTGTTCTCTGAATGTGTATCTCTATACTGATATATTAGTACCATTGTCAGACCTCACTAGGGAAGGTTGGTTGGGCAGTGAACACAGGTTTACACAAAATCTTAGAATTGGCAGAAGAGAATAAATATCTGTATAGTGTTCTGTCAAAATGGGACAACTGTATTATCACCCCTTTTCCTGAAGATCAGGGATTGTTGCAGAAGAGGGGGTATAAACATTGTAAGAGCCAAAGGTCAGGAAGGACCATAGCAAATGATATCTTCAGGACTTGACAGGACTGTTGCATTCCTGAAACCACAGCGTTTGTGATTTCATGCGCAAGACCTGAACAAGCTCAAGGCAGTGGATATTTTAGCACAGAGGAAGAAAAGCAGCTTATGAACCCCACCACAACCTGGGGGTGGTTGACAGTTGATTGCGTCTTTGGCAGGGAGGTTCAGTTCTCATTAAGGAATAGTGCCTTAGTAGGTTGGTCTTGCTCCAGTGGATACAAAAGGCCATACGACTGTAAGCATATGAACAGCAAAATTTATTGGGTTGCTTAAAACAAAGAAGAAGAGGAGGAGGGAAGAGGGTCTTGAAGAAGTTAAAGTAGTGGTTCTCAACCTTCCTGCCGCTACAGTCCTTGAATACAGTTCATCATGCTGTGGCGCTCTCCAACCATATGATTATTTTCTTTACTACGTCATAACTGCAATTTTGCTACTATTATGACTCAAAATGTAAGTATTTTGGGAAATAAAAGTCGGCCAATGGGGTCACGACCCACAAGTTGAGAACCTCTGAGTTAAAGAGCTTAGCAGGGGTGAATATGGGACAAAATACGTTTTCTTGAAATTTGAAAGAATTAATAAAATATTATATTAAAAACGTTCTAGGCGCTAGAGGAGCGTTTCTCAACCTCCGCAATGCTGTGACCCTCTAACACGGACAGTTCCTCATATGGTTGTGGTGTGCCACAACTGTAAAATTATTTCACTGCTACTTCATAACTGTGATTTTGCTACTGCTATGAATTATAATGTAGATATCTGATATGTGAGATATCTGACATGGGACCACAAAGGGGGGGCCGTGACCCACAGGTTGAGAACCACTAAGCTAGGGCGCTGGCTCAGTGGTTAGTAGCATTGGCTGTTCTTCCCTAGGACCAAGGGGTTTGGCTCTCTGAACCCACATGGCTCACAGCCATATGGAACCATCTGAGCACCCAGTTTCAGAGTATCTGCACCTTATTCCGACATTGGACACACATGTGGCCCACAACCATACGTGCAAACGAAGCACGGAGACCTTTGCAAATTCCAGATTACTCTTTCTTTTCAAAGTAAGAGTTTCTAAATGTTAAGTTCTTAATTTTCTCATTCACTTCAGAAGTAAATGCCTTTGACTTCGATGACATGATGAATTATGCTTTGTAAATAGTTGGGCTCAAAGGACTGAGTTATCAGATTTACTTCTGAGAAACTACAACACTGGGGAAAAAAAAGCAATACAATATTATTTCTAAAGGTTTTCAGAAATGAACATGACTTTACGTAAAATTTTGTTGTACTGAGGATATAGCTTAATTGATAGAGTTATATATTACAGATGATAGAGTGCTTGTCTAGCATGCACAAGGCCCTGGGTTCAGTCTCCAGCATAATTGAACAGAAAGAAAGACACAGACAAGAGTAGGATGGAGCAAAAAGAGGAAAGAAAAGAAAGGTAGGAGAGGGAAAAAACGTAAATTTTAAAAGTTATTTAATTGTCTGATTCACAACAAAAAAAGAAAAATTAATAAGACTATATAATGTCATATTTTCCCTGCTCCAATTTTTTTGCTGTTCAAATGATGCAGTCGTTTTGTGTTTGTTATGACTTGGCTGGTTCCATCTCTGAAAGCAACAATGTTGGTGAAAGGCTTGGAGGAAGCCAGCTCATTCTTCTCATCCTTTCTCGCGGTTCTTTTATTTCAACGTTATCAAATCCCTTGCAGGTGAAAATCAGAATGTGGCCAGTAAGAGCTATGAAGAGTGTACTCTGCATGTTTTGTTGTTGTTCATGGAAGACACTTTTTACGGAAAGGAGGAACACTAGTGACATTGTATAAATAAATCCTAGAGGTCACTGCTGTCAATTTTTTTTTTAAAAAAATGTAGAATTACACAAAGGATCTGAAAGTGAAAAATTCTCGTTTAATTCATGGTTTTTGAGTAGCCTGAATATCTATGGTCTAAAACAATTCACCTTGACCAAATGACCACATTAGTATCTATGCAATAATTACTCCTCCTTAGAGAGCATTATTTTATGTACCATGTACCAGGACATTTACAACCCATTTTACCAAAATAAAATATTGATTTTCTTGCGTAATATTATATTTAAAATTAAAAATACAAAGTCTGTCTCATGTGAACCGCACAGTCTGATTATGCACCAGTATTCCCGCACACCTTTGTGAAACAGGTTTGTGATAAAACTGGAAGTTAAACTGGTGAATTCTCATCTTCAATGGCCAACAGATTATAACCCCATCACACAGTTCATTAGGAGAAGAGAAGGCTAGAAATTCAGAGGTCAAAAAGGAAATATGACGTGGAGCCGTATCTCAGAGACTTCCATTTTCAACAAAGAAAGCTAGCACAGTAGCGTGAGGCACCTCCCGCTCCAGAGGAAGGTGTCTCAGGGGACACAGCGGGCTGTGTGCCCGCTTTGCCTCACTGCCACTTCTCTGAAGGGAGGTGCTTGTTATCAGATTTCAGAGGTGGCCGCCTGAAATTGGCAGGCGGTTTGTGTTCCTCAACGCTGCTGCTGTGAGGCGCCATGATGTTGCTCGACTAGGAGAAAAGGGCAACTGAGGAAGAGTTGCTTCACACACTCTCCCGATGCTTTGATCCTGTCTTAACTCTTCTCAAGGTATAAGGACTGGAGACCAACTCTCGGGTGGATAGCCAGCTGATGACTATGTAGACCAACACATTCCGCATATAAAATTCAGACCACCACATGTGGATTACTGGGATTCGTTACCATAAACACAGGCTTCAGGAAGTGTTGCCCACTCAATATTGACTGTATGCTGCAAAACATTTCCCACACAGTTCCTACTTTTTAAATTTTATTTATTTTTATTCACTTTACATCCTGGTTGTAGCCCCACAGTTCCTACTCTTTGGATAACATACAAAAGCTTCATTTTTCTGGATCATTCTAAAAAGATTTAGAATGCAGATTCATAAACCCGTTATCAAAATACCACCTGGCTGACAAACAATTAACATTTGACAAATGATAGCAACAGTATTTGAAACACTATCATTAACCGTGTGAAAAATAGACTCAATGTAATAACTGCTAAGTATCCTACATAAATCACCATAGAACAACACACAACATCTGTAATTTCCCACACTTGGAAAACAATTTCATTTTGATTTCGATGTGAAGCCTTCGTGTAATTTCACTTGCGCATACCATATGTAATTAACATATTGAAATACATATTATCCTATAATTTTATAATTGGTGATGTTTAAAAGCAAAGCAAAACTACCTGGATCCATACGAAAGCTATTCAGTCTTTACAAGTGATCGCCAATCTTCCCGCTAATCAGAAGGGAGAAGGATAGAAGCAATGATTGACAGGAATGGATGAAGAGGCTTAGCTGGTGGTATAACCTACGTTGCTACAGCAGATATTCGGGTAGTATATCTGGGTATGCACATAATATGGTAATGGAAGCTGACAGTAATCAAATCTTGATCTGTCAGTGACCAAGGTAGCCAGTTGTGCATAGAATCCCATTTCACCTCGATTTTGGTTTATGCAAACAGAGGAAGAAAGTCTTAACATATCAGATTTTAAATTTTTGAAGAAGATAAATCTATTAAAATTTGAATCAAACCGCCACACCTTCTTGACAGTTGACAAGGTATCTCTGAGATCATATTCAAACCCTAGTGACCACAAGGATGTCATCCATCATGTTAACCAAGATGCTTTCATCACAGTATCCTAAACTAGGACCAATTTTGGTTTTATTTAAAAAAAAATAGAAAACATACATTTTCCAAGTAGAAATTTTATACACATAACAAAACAGATATTAGAAACACAGACATCACTCAGCTTTGAAACCAACACTGACCTTCTGTTCCAAGAGCAATGTGTTTGTAGGGATTGCTGCAAAAGCCTTGTAGCTTGACGTGGTCTTGTATTGCTAGAATGAGTAACCAGAAAGCAAGAGTGGAGATGAAAAGGGAGAAGAACATGACATAACTGTAGGCAGGCATATCAAGTTAAATGACACAATATCAGATGAAGAAAACAGTTATTTTACACAACTTGTCTCCGAGAAAGAAAAATTAGTCTGCCGTGTTAAGCTTTTATTAGACTGATAAGTCGTTTTTATGTAGCCATTATTAGTAAGTATGCCAATAATTAAATTGAGCTTAATACATATATGTATCATTCATAAAAACAAATATTATAATACACAGTTATTATAATGACAGCAGTTTCAGGTTGATTTAATTGAGTTGTTGTTTAGTTTTGTTTTGTTTTTAGGCAAGATCTGTCTACATAGCCTAAGATAGGCTTGACCTCCATATGTAGCTCAAGCTGGCCTGAAATTCACAGTCTTCCTGCTTCTCCCTTTGAAGTGGTGAAATTGTTGGATAGACCTCGATACTTGGCTAACAGCAGTTTTAACACAGCAATTTGGCCAATAACTAAGTAATATCAGAAATTTAATACCATAGTGGAAATGGAGCCCAATCTCTTGGACTTAATCTCATTTTTAATACTATAAATCTTCTGCTTTCTAGTGAGTTTTACTAACAAAAGAAATTTAAAACATCTCAACTTTTAAGTCAAACAGAGCTCTGTGGGTTGCTTGGGGGAGCTGGAGATTAATAAAGCTGTAGAAATTGGAATAAGATAAAAATCCATTATTAAAAGCTCTGCCTTGGTGTTACTCTGGTTTTGAGCTGATTAGCTGAATTCAAGACCCTATTACACTAAATCCTCTACCAGAGGCAGCTTCCCCAGGGGCTCACAGACAGTAGGGTCATGGCACAGCACTCCAAGCTGCCATGGTTCCTTGAAAAGCAAACCAAAGTGTTAGCCAATAAAAACTGAAGTTGTCAAAAAATAAAGCCTAAGGGGAAATAGAATATATAGCTGCAGAAAGGTGGAAGACTGGAGTGAAAGGATTAAATAGGAAGGGGAATTAAATAGGAAGAAAAGGGTAATGGAGGAATATGGGAGGGAGAATTAACACTAGAGGTTGTTTGAGGGGCCAGATGTAAACCTAGTCTTGAAAAGGCCTCCTTGTATATCTATACAAGAAAGAAATCTAAGTGGAGTAAACAGATAAATGGGGAGACAATGCCCCAACTAGACATCTTTCAATATCAAGCAAAAACCTCCTGTGCCAGGAATGAGTTACATCTAGTTGAATCATTGGTTACTATCCTCAGACTGATGGTCGATGTCATCCTATTGCTAATGAAAATACTAGAATATCACCTTGAACATAAAAAAGTTGGGCTGTTGCCTAACTAGAGGCTTCACCTTTACTGACTACTGTTTATGGAAAGTACCCCGTACACTACCAGAAGATAAAGGTAACCATCAACCCAGCTACCAACCCTGTGAACTACCATGATGAGCTGCCTGAGACTATAGTGCTGCAATAGTGGCACAAACCTTGTGGAAGTAACCAACACTGATTGGATTTAAGGCCATTACCAAGAGCTGGAGCCCATGCCTCACATTTCTCAGGTGGTCACAAACTCTGTTCTGCCAAAGAAACACTTCAATAAGATTGTAATGTCACTTCTACTGATGCTCTGCTTGGGAACCCCCTCAGCCATCATTCGATTTCTTCTACAATCGAAGGAGAAATAACACAGAGACCCACAACTGAACAATGTGCAGAGAATGAGAGACCTTTAACATTCAGTCCTAAGTGAGGTGTCTTCAAATCCCTCCTTTCAAGGCTCAGGAAGCTATATGAAAAAGAAGGTGGAGCCAGAGGGAATAAATGACTCCAAGGAAACAGCATACTCCAGACACAACAGAACTGCTGCAACTTATGAACTCACAGAGTATACAGCAGCATGCACAGGGCCTGCACAGGTTCAAGCTACATAGGTTCTAGGGCTGAGAGGGGGAAGTAGACACAGGCTCCCAACCCTAACCAAGAAGCTATCTGCAAATGAGACCTGCTCGGAAAGTTGTTTTTTTTTTTTTTTTTTTTTCTCCAATGGAACATCACTGGGTATATTAAACACACTTTAGAGTAGGCTCAATGCCCATCAGTAGACAGCCAAAAAAAAAAAAAAAATGCAGTGGGATTTTTGTAGACAATTCAGGCTTTTATCTATCTATCTATCTATCTATCTATTTATTTATTTATTTATTTATTTATTTATTTATTTATTGGTTGTATTGGATTTTGCTTGTATATTGTAGTTTCTAGTTTTGGATTTTTTGTGGGGTTTGCTTGTTCCTTGGGTGGTTTTTGCTTTTCTGTTTGTTTCATTTGTTGTTGTTTTTTTTAGTAACCTTTTAATTTTTTTATTATATTTTATTTATTTATTACAATTTATTTACTTTGTATCTCCACTGCAGCCCTCTCCCTCATCTCCTCCCAGTCCCACCCATTCTCCCTCTTCTCCCCCTATGCGCTTTCCCTACTCCCCTGATAGCAGGGGTCTTCCTCCCCTTCTATCTGACCATAGTCTATCAGGTCTCATCAGGACTGGAGGCATCAGCTTCCTCTGTGACCTGGCAAGGCTTCATCCCCCAGGAGAAAGTGATCAGAGAGCCTGCCACTGAGTTCATGTCAGAGACAGTCCCTTTACCCCTTACTAGGGTACCCACTTGGAAATTGAGCAGCCTATGGGCTGGGCTCCCTGTTTATTTTTTTAAAGAGAATGAGAAAATGTGTCGAGTTGAGTGGGTAAAGAGATGGGGATGGTTTGGAGGAGTTTCAAAGGGGGAAAAGCATGAGCAGCCTATATTGTACAGAAATTTTTTTCAATTAAAATTATCCTTGTATTTTACTGATGTAATTAAAATTAACTTGGTTAAATTTGTATGATGAGGCTGTATAAACTTTTATAAATGGAGTTTAGCACATCCATTTTCTTAAAAAGGGACTGAGGAGAATGAAAGCTTTAGTGACAGACCTAGAGGAAGAATAGCAGTACACACTGAAGGCCAAAAACATTCCCTCTTCTTGCTGTTTTCTTCCTTTTTATTCTGTTTATTATATTAGATAGAGCGGAACTAGCAACACAAGGCCAGGAAGCTACTGTAGCCTTTCAATCACAACCCTCACTGACAATCGTATGTAAATAAATGCACTTATTTAAATGCACACGCAAAAATGCATATCTATTCCTGAATATACCCGTACGCTCATAAAAACATACTCAACAAAACACACACAGAGGCCTCTGAATAGGTACCCATCTCTTACCAGGGAATAGACCCTGCTTACTTATCTGCTACTTTCTTTCTCCAAATGCCTCTTTGCTCTAAGAAACAGCAGCTTTGCAATCTTCTGTACTCCTCCAACTCTCCTGCTCCTGTACCCTCATCTCCTCCATGTGAGCAATTCCTGAAGGATGCCTGAGGTCTCTTCCAGTCCTAGTATCTACAATGATCCTGCAATGCCGTCACCTTAGAAAACAATGTCTCTGGGTAAGGATTTAGAATGAATTGTAATTTCTTTACGAACAACAGGGAAAATTGCATACCTTTTTAGAACCCTGAAGCTAAAGACTCATCAGGAAAATCTGAAGTCAAATGATGTATCGTATCCTAAACTTTGAGTATCATTTCCATCCAGTTTCTTCTTAGATAATTGTTTTCTTATTTTTAACTATGAAGGTAAGGATTTTTATATTATTTCATGAGCCATTTTATAGATGTTAATCTTTATCATTTTCCAAGACATACATCAAAAATGGAATGTTCTTACTACTACTCTCAGTGTGGTATACTAGACCATCCTGTCAATCTCACTGGATATAGAATTTAACTAATGGACTCATTCAACAATTACCTATTGAGTAGCTATGACATTCAGTACTCTACAACATTCAGTAATTCTCTAGCACATGAGCCTTTCCCAGATTTTCGGCCTGAAAAAGCATGCTTATTGCCATAAATGATGCTTTTTGGATTCAGTATCTTTCCTATGAATACCCTTCATATTCTTAGATTTGAATATGGAGTTCTTGGCTCTAATTTGGAACATAGTTCTTTCCAAGGTTTCTGGCTGATGGCCAAGTTCATTGGTATAAAACTGAATTCTTTTATATAAATATGAACTGTTCTAGAAAAGGTAAGTGAGATAACCTGAATTATAGCCTATGGATTTACAAGAATTACTAACAGTAGGGCCAGAGAAATGGTTTAGTTGGTAAACCACATGCCATACAAGAGCTAAGTTTGATTCCCAGAACCTACATGAAGGCTAAAGGAGAAAACTAACTCCATGAAGCTCTCCAACCTCTACACAACTTTGCCTGCCCCCATACACATATCATGTATACATTCACACACACAAAGCATGGCTACATGATTATAATGAACATTAAAGGAAAGAATCACATTCAGCTTCACATAGATAGTAAAAATGAAAAAAACAACTCTAAGCATCTTTCTGAATCTGGCAAACAGTGCAATGAGATCCACTGTAGATCTACAATTTATAATCTGTGATTTCAGTTAAGCATCAACAAATATGTCTTCATATTGTGCACAGTGTAAAGAAAATTTTAAGTTTAGAAAATAAGATATGTTTCTTACTTGCCAGATCTAATCTTGTTAATGCTGGTTGTGAAGTTAATGGTAAAAAGAACACATCCCTACACAAACAGTTTTCCAGCTGATACTGTATTTTCCAGGGCCAGTGACCACAGAACCTAATCATAAAAGCCAATAAGATATCACAATAAACTAGGTTATATGTCTCAAGGAATGGATTGATGGTTTTACTTTCAGCAGGAAAACTTCTGATTAACAACAGCATGGGACCCTTGGCGTGGATCCTCATTGCAACAATGACGACTTTCTTTAGATCTAGGAGCTCAAAGAGAGTCTGAACACTATCACTTCTTGATTTTTCCAGAACCACACCCAAATTGCTACAGTTATTACTTTCCTGGTGTAGGATCTGAGAGGAAAGATCAACCTCATTTC